TTTTTGAGATGGAGTGTCACTCTGTCACCCAGGCTGGAGTGCAGTGGCGGGATCTTGGCTCACTACAACCTCTGCCTCTCAGGTTCAAGCAATTCTCCTGGCTCAGCCTCCTGAGTAGCTGGGATTACAGAGGCCCGCCACCACACCTGGCTAATTTTTGTATTTTTAGTAGAGATGGGGTTTCACCATTTCAGCCAGGATGGTCTTGAACTCCTGATCTCAGGTGATCCACCTGCCTCGGCCTCCCAAAGTGCTGGGATTACAGGTGTAAGCCACTGTGCCCAGCCTGAAATTCTTACAAAAGAACAAATACCCCAAGACATCTTTGTCTTCCATATGTAGCCCAGCAGTACAACAATGAGGGTAAGTGCTCGGTCTCTGGTGCAGTCCAACTCCTGGATTCAGAACCTGGCCCCAGTACTCAGTATTTACCATCTCACTTGCAATACTGGGTAACAGTATTGCAGTAGCACCTGTGTCTCACAGGGTTGTTGTGAAGATGTGATGAAATAACTTAAGCCCTTGGCTACGTCCCTGGCACAGGTACTCAATAAATATGTTATTATTCTCATCATCTAATAATTGAAGACTATTCTTATCATCTAAATTGATTTTTAAAAATCTAATACCTATGGAGCACCTCCTATGAGCAAGGAACACCGAGAGGTGTTGGAGAATACAAAAATATATGAGCCAAAGCCCCTATGGTGGGAAAATAAGGTGCGCGCGTGCACACACACACACATACATACACACACACACACACACACACACACACACAGAGTAAAGTACAAGGCTGCAGTATGTGATTACGTAATATAAGGCACAAGCACAGGCACAGGTGAATGAGCAGTGATTTCATTCAAGCATCCGAAAGGCTTAATGAAAACATTATTAAGTTAGCTGTCAGAAGGCTGGGTGTGGTGGCTGACACCTGTAACCTCAATGCTTTGGGAGGCCAAGGCAAGCGGATCACTTGAGGCCAGAAGTTCAAGACCATTCTGGCAGGCCAGCGGCAGTGGCTCAAGCCTGTAATCTCAGCACTTTAGGAGGCCAAGGTGGGTGGATTGCCTGAGCTCAGGAGTTTAAGACCAGCCTGGGCAACACAGTGAAACCCTGTCTCTACTAAAATACAAAAAATTAGCACAGAGTGGCAGCGACCACCTGTAGTCCCAGCTACTTGGGAGGCTAAGGCAGGAGAATTGCTTAAACCCAGGAGGCAGAGGTTGCAGTGAACCAAGATTGCACTATTGCACTCCAGCCTGGGCTACAGAGCGAGACTCTCTCTCCAAAAAAAATAAAAGACTAGCCTGGCCCACATAGCAAAACACCATCTCTATAAAAAATACAAAAATTAGCCAGGCATGGTGGCACATGCTTGTAATCCCAGCTACTCAGGAGGGTGAGGCATGAGAATAACTTGAACCCAGGAGGTAGAGGTTGCAGTGAGATGAGATCACGCCACTGCATGGGTGACAGATTGAGTCTCTAAATAAATAAATTAATAAATAAATAAGAGATAAGAAGCACCTGCCTTGGCCCTGCATGGTGGTGCATGTCTATAATCCCAGCCTCCTTTGGGAGGCTGAGGCAGGAAGACTGCTTGAGCCTAGGAGTTTAAGACCAGCCTGGGAGACATAGTGAGACCCTGTCTCTACAATCTGTTTTTTTTT